GCGTTCGGGGTCACCCGACTGCCCCCCCGCAACTGCGCTGACTTGAGCCTGGCGGTGGTGGCGAGGGAAGACCCGGAGGAGGAGCGATCGGGCGACCGCGGGTGACGGGGGCAGATCTGTCCTCGATCGCGTCGGGACCCCCCCAATCGCAGCGCGCGTCGCTATCGGGGGTGCTTCCGCTGGGCTCACGAGCCTCAAGGATCCACTCCCAGTCGACCTCGTCCTGGGGCTGCCGTCCGCCTTCCGCCCCGATCCCGATCGGGCGGGGTGGGGGGGGCGCGTGTGTGTGTGGGGGGGGGGGGGGGGGGGGGGCGCGGGGGAGATCTCTTGGTCACCAAGAGCGTCTGCCTCGCCAGCGCCTGCCGGGGGGGGGGGGGGTCGGGCGGGGGGCAGGAGTGGAGTGGGGCGGGGGGGGGAAGGGGCGGGCAACGATTCCCCCATGCTGGTGCTGCTCTGGCCCAGCACGCCACTGGGGTGGGCGCTCTCGCAAGCCCCGATGACTCTCTGAGCACCCACCCTGGGAGTTGGCGTGAGCTGATCTTGGACAAGGCCGTCCCGTGGGTTGCGGCCAACCGCAGCAGTCTGCATCTCGTGGTGATGGGGGGCGCGGCCAACAGCCGCGATATCCACATTTCCATCAGGAGGAGGAGGAGGAGGAGGAGGAGGAGGAGGAGGATTGGAGGCGCAGCCAACAGCCGCATTCACATTTGCATTGACAGAGGAGGAGAGAGGTGCAGCCAACAGCCGCAATGTCACATGTGCAAGGTCAGTACTTCCCTCGCCATCTGGCGGTCTCTCGGGGGAGAGACCCGCCACTGCGTGGGGCGGTGCAGCCGCATGCCCCCATGGTGGGTGGACAGCGCTATGCACTTCTGTGGGCTGTATAGCCTCGTCATGGCCCTCTCTAGGGTTCCCATCCACTACCGCCTCTCAATTCCCCCCTGGGACGTCATCCTCAACCCCTGGGAGTTGGATGGCGCCCGCCAGTGGTGTCTCGGACTCCCGGGCAGTCCCACGGCGGGGGGAGGAGGGAGGCGAGGGCGGGACGGGGATCGACACGGGGTCCAGGGTGGGTCTGTGGGAGGTCTGGTAAGGACTCTCTCGCCCCTGAGCGTCCGTCGCCGTGTCCCTTTGGTTCACGTCTGTCCCGCCAGCCGGCCTCTGCAGGGGCGTGTCGTGGGCGTCTCTGGGGGACTGTTGCCTCGCCCCGTCTCTCTCAGCGCTGGCGCCGTCTTCTGCTGGGCAGCGAACCATGGTGGGCGCCGCTGAAGCCAGCTCCTGTTCTGCCCCGACTGCGGGGGGGGCCTGCTGTCTGTGGGGGGTCTGCGCCGGATTCGGATCTGGGGGGGGCAGATCGATACCAGTGGCTGGGCTCCCATACCATGCACTGAAAGATCTTCGCCCCCATCGACGCCCTCCGATAGATCCTCCATGGGATTGCGTCCACGATCCAATCTGAGCCGAGGGCAGGAGCTGCGCCGCGAGCGGAGCAGCGGCAGCTATGGCGGGCGCGCGCGGGCGGCCCGAAGGAGCCCAGGGTCGCGGGCCCGCGGTGCGGCGTACGGGCGCCCCCTTGAGCACGGGAGACTGGCCCGAGGGAGCCAGGCCCGTGATATGGCTTGAGCCAAGAGGCTACGGAGGCTGGTGGGGAGACGCGACGCGTCAATAATTACCTCAGCCGACCCGCTTCTTATCAAAATAGCTCTCAATGGACTATCCAGGATTCGCTCGCAAAGCTCTCTTTTCCCTTCCCTCCGTCAGGTTGTTTGTCTGTTACCCACAGGCATGGGAGGCGCAGCATAGGAGCCGCGTCGTTGGAATAAGTAGGAAAGCGTTTGCGGGACACGCTGCTCGTACCAGCAAGTTGTTGCGGCGCTTCGTCGTTTCGTGACCATCGGCTGCGGGGAGGAGGAACCTGACCTAGTTCAGTGGACATGTTTTCTTGAAAATCCCGAGAACCGCTTCAAGGAGCTATCTGAAACCCTTCTGCCCGATGCTCTGCTTCCCCTTCCCCCGTTCACGTCGTTTGTTTATGACCCACGGGCCTGGGAAATGCTGGCTGGGAGCTGCCTTGACGCTGCCTAGGTCCTGCGCGCGAGTGTAGGAAACGCTGCGAAGGAGCTGCGCAAACGCTTGCGACCCACGTGTGGGGAATGAGCAGGGAAGCGGTTCCTGGACACGCTGCTGGCTCGAGCAAGCCACCGCGACGCTCACTGGCCCGCAGCCGTGTAGAGGAAGCTGGTCTATCCAAGCTGTCGGCTTCTTCCCTAAAACCCTTCTAATTCCTGCGCAATTTCCGCGACGGCCGCGGGCGCCGCTTCCAGGCCCTCCCGGGCGCAAACTCTGGAGGGTGAGCAGGCGCCATTACGCCGGAACGGATGCCCCATCCTCCTCAAACTGCCCCCGTTCCCTCATCCTCCTCCTTCTTGACCCTACCTAAGGTTCCTCCTCTTCCTCCTCCCCCTGTTCCTCCGCCTCCTCCGCCTCCTCCGCCTCCACGCCCGTTCACCCGATCGCTCACTCGCTCGCTTGCTGATAGCAAGGGATGCGCCGAAACGGCAGCACCATTCCCGATGGGGGATGTGGTCCGCGCGGAGACGACAGCACCGTTCTCAACCCGAGACGGGGCCAGCGCTGAGGCTGGAGCACAGTTCTTACTTACGGACGTGGCCTAAGCTGAAACGAAAGCACCGCTCCCAAAAAGGAATGTGGCCATCGCTGAGGCGAGAACAACATCCATATTTGGTTGAGGCGACAGGTCTCATGTCTCAGGCGACGCTAGCTGGACCACCTGAGGTCAAGGCATCTCCGAGACGAGATCCAGGAGGGCATCTCCAACGAAATGGGCCCGACCATCCTCACTGTATACGAATGTCTGGCTTTACCGTGGCGCCAGCGCCCAGAAAGCTGGGACGACTCAACAGAAGTCACTGTACCCCCGAGAAGACGAGAAAGCAGGAAGCAAGTGTGCGCCAAGTTCGTGCCGTGGCAGCCCCTGCGCCGGATTGTTTGACACTGCGCGGAGCGTTCCGCCTTGAACGATCGCGGCCTTCTGGTCGCGGGGATCGCTCGACCGACGCCAGCCAGCCAACTGCTGGGCCACTGGGGGGCGTTCAGCCTTGGACGCCCGCGCTGGGCTCGCCGCCGAGGACCTGCCGCATGGGGATTTGGGGATAGGAACAAGGAGAAGGAGAGGAAGGGAGCGGGAGGAGGGGGGAGATGAGGAGTCGCCATAGATGAGGAGTCGCCATCCACCAGAGCCAGACGGGGCTTGGTCAGCGCCACACGGATATCAAGACTGAGACTAAGAGGAGGGAGTGGCAGGCACGTCATCACCAACCGAGAATAACCAGGACGCGATAAATCGATCACACACGATCCCACCTTTCCAAAGTATTGGCAATATCCTTGCATACTTTCCCCTGCATATGCATGAACTGTTGCAGGTCCGCGCAAATTTCTTGGATGCTGGGCCCCTCTGCAAGGGCGCGCAGAGCGCCAGGGGCGGCGGCGCCGGAGGCGCCGCCAGGGGGCCCAACGCCGATCCAAGAAATTCGCACGGAACGCCGACTACGTATGCTTATGCAACTCTTCTTCAATGACAAATTCCACAACGCGATGCGAGACAGTCGGGCGGCCCCATGTCTCACGCGATCTGGGAACAGACGCAGCCACACGCAGTGATGAAGAGGAAGCAGGGCGGCCGCCTCGAAGCAACAAAGCAGGCTCCTGCCAATACTGTGCAGAAGCTGGTTCGAATCGGACACTGGGGCCCTCCCAACCATATCTCTATATAAGAACATACATAAATCAACCTAACCTCTCGAACTCCCAACTCCCCAACCCAACCATCGAAGAACCCCCCAACCACACAATACATCGAAGAACCTCCCAACCCCCCAACCAACCCATCGAAGAACGACAATATTACATAAGCATAAGCTTTCGGAGGTCCGCGCGGACTTCTCGGATCGGCGCTGGACCCTCATGGCGGCGCCTCCGGCGCCGCCCCTGGCGCGCTTCGGGCGCTGTTGGGGCGTAGCATGTTCTCCTCGTCCTCGTCCTGATCCTCACTCTCCCCTTCGTGCTCCATAGGTCGCGGGGACACGATGCAACACTTACGCCGGCCAGAGGACCCCGACATCGTGAGGCAGGCCCACGAGTTTGTCGCTTCCGCCAAGGGGGCCAGCGGACACGAGACGCCGTCTCAAGCATGCGCTGACAGAGGCCGGCGGTGCAGAGAGGTTTAATTCACGATTGAGGCACAGGCCACAGGGTTAGAAGGAAGCAATTGTGCAAGCGCAATTACTACCCCAGCGGCGGTCTCATCTTCCCATACTGATATGCAGCTCGATGCACGCGCTCTCTTGTTTGCTTGCTGGGCCAGAGGACCCCCCTCGCCCATGGCATGGACCAAGGGCAGGGAAGGCGGCTGCCAGGCAGCCTGAGCCCCTGGACAGAGACCCCCCTCGAGTCCGGCCGGGCCCGAGCCAGCCTGCCTGCCCCCAACGTCCCGAACGCCATCCCCCTGCACCTGTCGGGGCACCGCGCGCGGGGACCTTGGATGAACCAGGGCACCGGCACCCCCCGTGCTGGAGGAAGAACAACGGCACAAACCCAACCTTTCGGAAGTCCGCGCGGATTTGTTGGATCGGCGGAGCGCCAGAGGCGCCGCCAGGGGGCTGGCGGGGCGTGGGGCAGCGCCGACCCGACGACTCCGCGCGGAACTCCGAACGTTCATGTGTATACCGTTGTTCCTGTTTTCGGACCTCGCGACCCTGAGATCCGGAATTTGTTTTGTTTGTTTTGGATCACCATACCCGATGTTTCTGCGCCATTTTTCGAACAGGATCGAACTGTAAGGGTCCCAGGGCCCGAGAGTATGCGAAGACGCCCGTCTCGAAAAAACTGAACCGGCAGGTCTTCAGGGAACGTCCTGGTCTGCAAAGTCCCAATCGCTGGGGTGCTGAAGCCGGCCCGGGGGCCGCTCCGACAGGCGCCTGCTGCGCACGGCCCGATCTGCTGGTCCACGAAGGCTGGCGCGGGGGGGGGGAGGGGCGCTGGCGGAGGTGCGTCCGGACGAAGGGCCCCTCCTCCCCGCGTCGGCTTCGGATGGAACCAGCGACCGCTGTACACCTACACCGATTCTGGGCAGGCCCATCCTCGGCCCGGCATGGGGGGTCGTGTTGCAAATTGCATATGTCTCACTGCAAATGAATCATGATTCTGCCGCATCGTCCATCCAAACTGTGACCCTGTATCATCCCAGACGAACCGATAATGTTCCCCCTCATCCTCTGCAGATGTACTAACTATGCGCGCGCATTCGTTTATCAAGAATCATCAGTTTTCCAGAATCCCCTGCAACAAATGGAACGAAATGCGCACGCGCGCCTCGTCGTGAGCACATGCCGAAGCCCTTCAATTTCAAAACCGATGTCATTGTTTCAGGCGTTGTTTAGCAAAAAACTTGCGCTCGCGCTCTTGACGATCCTTGACAAAACCATGGTTATAAGTGTCAGATTAAGCTGCCAAAGGGGCCTCTCGCGCGCGTGCCGAAATCATTCGAACGCCCTTTCGCGCGTAATGTGTGATGTCGCAAGGACCGTTTGCAACCAATAAGGCTTTCACAAACATTACCCTGGCGACGTACCCAACCCTTGCGCAATGCAGGGCAGGAGTAGCTTGGGAGATTTGACGAGAAGGCGGCGACGTGACCTACACGCATATACTTCTGCGAGCGGCATTCAGAAGGTTCGCAGGCCCCCAATCAAGGGAAAAACGATGAGTAACCCCTGAGCCCCGAAGGAAGACGTAAGGTCCAAAAGGAGACTGTGGGCAAGGGGCTTGAAACGTCGGCGGGGCAACAACAACAACATGACATGGCCCCCCAAAGACGGCGAGGTCCCGTTCATGTCCAGGCAGTGCCTCACTCCGCTGGACCCACCAGCAGACTTCGAAAGTGGCGAGCCCACCAGCAGCCCTCGAAAGTGGCGACAATTTCGCACATTGCAGCCCCACAGGGACGGCGAGGTCCCATTCAGGTCCGCGCAGTGCCTCACTCCGCTGGACCCACCAGCAGCCCTCGAAAGTGGCGACGGTTTCGCAGGTCGCAACCACCCAGGGGACGGCGAAGTCCCGTTCAGGTCCGCGCAGTGCCTCACTCCGCTGGACCCACCAGCAGCCTTCCAAAGTGGCGAGCCCACCAGCAGCCCTCGAACGTGGCAGATCGCAGCCCCCCAGGGACGGCGAGGTCTCGCTCAGGTCTGCGCGGTGCCTCACTCCGCTGGACCCACCAGCAACCCTCGAAAGTGGCGACAGCTTCGCAGATTGCAACCCCCAGGGACGGCGAGGTCTCGCTCAGGTCTGCGCAGTGCCTTACTCCGCTGGACCCACCAGCAACCCTCGAACGTGGCAACAGTTTCGCAAATCACAGTCCACCAAGGGACGGCGAGGTCTCCGTCAGTTCTGCGCGGGGCCTCACCCCGCTGGACCCACCAGCAGCCCTCGGAAATGGCGACAAATTCGCAGATCGCAGCCCCCCAAGGACGGCGAGGTTTCGCTCAAGTCCGCGCAGTGCCTCACTCCGTTGGACCCACCAGCACTCCTCGAGCGTGGCGACAGCGTCGTAGATCGCAGCCCCCCAGGGACGGCGAAGTTTCGCTCATGTTTGCGCGGTGCCTCACTCCGTTGGACCCACCAGCAACCCTCGAACGTGGCGACAATTTCGCAGATCGCAGCCCCCCAGGGACGGCGAGGTCTCGCTCAAATCTGCGCGGTGCTTCCCTCCGCTGGACCCACCAACAACCCTCGAAAGTGGCGACAGTTTCGCTGATCGCAGCCCCCGAGGGACGACGAGGTCCCGGTCAGTTCTGCGCGGTACCTCCCCCCTCTGACCCACCAGCAGCCCTCGGAAATGGCGACAATTTCGCAGATCGCAGCCCCCCAACGACGGCGAAATAAGGGCAGAAGGCGGGAGAAGGCGGGAAGGGGGAGACGCAACCGCGGTGTTGTACTCAAAACGAATACCCAACCAAGGAGGGTTGGGGAAAAACGACTGTCCCGAAAACGTAGAACAACATTGGTTTTACAACATCAATTGTCAAAAAACCTACGCGCGTCCTTGCAAATTCTTAGGATAACCATCGGTTCTTCAACATGTCCACGAAAGTCTGCCAAACGGGCCTTTTGCTCCGCATGTCGAACTCATCCGAACGTCCTCCCGCGTGTGCTGGGGGGGGCACGGCCCGCGTCGAACAACACCACGTTGGCCACTCGCGCGCGTCGGCCGCGCGCGCATGTTGAACTCCTTCCAAAACGTTCATCACCGACGTGGGGGCATCGTCATCGTTACCGCCGGTCGTGATCAACATCGGCGCCGTCAATGGTCTTGCCGTCGTCATCGCCACCATCGCCACCATCATCGTTACTCTCATCATCGACTCTACCGTTGTCGGCGTCGCTATGATACCGCACCCGCCCAGATCACCGACTCGCACTGCAGTGCCCGCTGGGAGGTGCCCAGCGGTAAGCGCCACTGCGGCCGCGTTGATTGCGCCGCACTTGTTGGCCGCTGCGCGCGCGAGCATGCGCGGGAAGCGCGGCCGTAGAGATGCACCAACCAACGCCAATCATTCATCGCAATCGCCGTCACATCTGTTTTGCCAATCAAGTTGCGGGCGGGTGGGTGGGATGATTGCGGGATCAGTGGGGTTGACAACTCTCTGCGAGCAAGGGTGAATTGCGATTGTATAACATAGCTTACACCACATAGAGTGCACCACGTAGCTTGTCGGAAGTGAGGGGGTGAGATCGAAGTGGAACGGAGAGCCCCCCTACTGGGAAATCGGTTTCGGTTTCGTGTTCGTGCGCGCCGTGCGTGCGGGCAAGGCGAAGCTGCGCGGGCGGGCGAGAAATGTCCCGCCTCTGGCCGAGCCGCGGCCGACCAGAAGTCTCCCTTCCGGCAACCGGTGCCGCGCGGTGTCCCGCCGGTGCCCCGTCGGTTCCCGATGATGATGATGATGATGATGATGATGATGATGATGATGATGCTGACGATGTTGATGATGATGATGGCCATGGAGGTGATGATGATGGTGTCCACATGATGATGAGGTTGACAATGATGATGTTGCTGATGATGGAGCCCCGGTGATGATGACGATGATGTTGGTGATCCTGATGGTGTTGATGATGATGAGCTGATGAGATGATCACGATGATGAAGATGACGATGTTGGTGTCCCGATGATGATGATGAGGTTGATGATGATGTTTTTCGATGATGATGGTTATGATGACGGTGTCCCGATGATGATGATGATGATGATGGTGATGATGACAATGATGGTGTCCTGGTGATGACGATGATGCTGCTGAAGATGATGACGACGTAGTGCTGAAGATTTTGATGGTGGTGGCCCGATGGTGATGATGATGCTGATGTTGATGGTGATGCTGGTTTCCCGATGATGATGGTGATGATGATGATGGTGACGATGATGATACTGTCCCGATGATGCTGATGTTGATGATGCTGATGGCTCTGATGATGATGGCGTCCCGATGGTGATGATGATGATGTTGATGAGATTGTTCATGATGATGGGATGATGATGATGGTGGTTGCGTTCCGATGATGATGATGATGGTGTCCGTATGCTGATGATGTTGACGATGATGATGGTGACGATGATGGTGCCCCGATGATGGTGATGATGGTGCTGATGATGATGATGGCCGTGGTGGTGATGATGATGGTATCCAGATGATGATGCTGATGATGTGAATGTCGCTGGGGGTGATGATGGTGTCCAAATGATGATGATGATGATGATGATGATGATGATGATGATGATGGTAATCCTGATGATGTTGAGAATGATGAAATGATGGGATGGTGATGCTGAAGATGATGGTGATGATGTTCCGATAATGATGATGTTGGTGATCATGCTGTTGATGATGATGGTGGTGATGATGGTGTCCCGATGGTGATGATGTTATTGATGATGACGATGATGGTGTTCGATGGTGATGATGATGATGAGGTTCATGCTGAGGCGATGGTGATGTTGATGATGGGGGCCCGATGATGATGGTGTTGCTGTTGGTGGTAATGATGGTGACTTGATGACGATGATGTTGATGATGATGCTGATGTTGGTGATGATGATGATGACGATGGCGCCCCGATGATTATGATGATGTTGACGCTGCTGTGCATGATGATGTTGATGATGAAGAGATGATTATGCTGATGGCGGTCTTCCGATGATGATGATGCTGATGATATGATGGGATGGTGATGCTGAAGATAAAGGTGATGGTGTTCCGATGATGATGGTGGTGATGATGATGCTGTTGATGATGATGGTGATGGTTCCCGGTGGTGATGATGTTAATGATGATGGCGATGATGGTGTCCGATGATGGTGATGTTGCTCATGAGGTTCATGCTGAGGTGCTAATGATTTTGATGGTGGCCCGATGATGATGATGATGATGATGATGATGATGATGATGTTGCTGCTGATGATGATGATGGTGTCCCGATGATGATGGTGATGATGATGGTGGAAATGATGATGGTGACCCGATGATGATGATGATGATGTTAATGATGATGTTGCTGATGATGATGACGCTGGTGTCCCGATGATGATGTTGACGATGTTGCGCATGATGTTGATGAGATGATTATGATGGTGGTGCTCCAATGATGACGATGCTGGTGCCCCGATGATGATGATGCTGATGATGAAGATGGTGACGATGATGGTGCCCCGATTATGATAAGAATGGTGATGCTGATGACGATGCTGGTGATGAGATGATGATGATGATGCCCCGATGATGATGATGAAGATGATGTTGATGACGTTGATGACGATGATGTCGGTGATGATGATGTTGGCGTTGAATGTGAAATCGATTGTGGTATCGATCGTGAAATCGATAGTGAGACCGAATGTGAGATTGATTGTGAGATCGGTAGTGAGATCGATCGTGAAATCGACTGTGAGATCGATAGTCA